TTTTATTTAAATAAAACCAAAGTATATAAGAATAATCTTTATATAGTTTTAGAATTAGATTATTTCTACTATTCAAGCTCTTTTTTATAAATTATATAAAACTGAATTTTGTATTTATTTTTTTTCTTAATATAATTTATAGCAAAAATAAAGCTGTAACTTTGTATTATTTTTTCAAAACAATTTTTTTTTAAAAATCTAATATTATGACTACTTAATTAGTTAAATTAAAAAAAAATAAATCTTTTTTAACTTTTATAAAAGTAAGTATAATTTTTAATTATTTATATACTTTAATAGATTCTTTAATTAATAAACAAATAAAAATAATATTATTATGCAAAAAATAATAATTTAAGTGAGTGTTTTACTTTTATATTTACTCCTACCTTCTTCTTTACATATACTTTCACATTTACCTTTACTTTAATCTATACCTATTTACTTTTATAAAGTTTTTCTATTATTATAATATAATTTAACCATTATATATATTTTAAAAATCATATTAGATTTGAATATTTTAACTATCATTATTAATTTTAATCATTATAATTAATTTTAACTTATTTTAAGTGAAGGTAATATTTGATATATAAATGCAATTATATTAATTAAAAAACTGTTAATAATAATATAATTTTTATAGTTTTATAAATATTAATTTATTAATAATTCTATTTTAAATTAACTTAAGTCAAGTTGAATTCAATTTAAGTTTAAATCAAGTTAAGTTAAATATTTAATTCAACTTAAATTTGATATGACTTATAAATTATTAAGTTAATAAAATATAAACTCAACTTAATTTAAATTTAACTCAATTTATCAAACTCATGTATTAACTTAATTCATCTGAAATTCTAAATTTAATGACAAATTGATAATTCCTATCAGAATATAAAACTATTAAGAAAAGTAAATTAAAAGAAAATTATTAAGAAGAATAGAATGAGATAAAAAAGATTAAGTATTAATTTAAATTATATAAAGATTATATAATATCTATTTTTACTGATTTTAAAAAAATTTATGTAATATTTTGATTACACAAAACTCATTAAAAATCATCTTACAAAATGTTAAATTTCAATTAAATAAGAGAAATAATGAATAAAAGAGTTACAAATATCATTATCTTAACTTTAACTAATTAAAAATTTATGATTTTTTAAATATTAAAATCATTAATCTTAAGATTACAATGATATATTTTTCACTTAAATCAGATTATTAGATGTTTAATAATCAAAAAAACATTATTTTATTTGATTTTTATATTTTATAGATTATTATTAAACTTTTATGAATTAATAAACAATTTTTTAGTTTAATTTTAAAGCAATATTGAAAAAGATTTTCACTAAGCCTAAGTAAAAGTGGAATTTTTAGGTTTTTTACTCATCTCAAATTTCAGATAATATTTTACATATGCATTTAAATATTCTAAATATTTATTTTAAATATTTTAATATTATTTAAAATAATTTAAATTAGCTAGAAAATAGATAACTAAATTTAGATTAATTTTAATATTATTTATGATTAAATTATATGTTTTTTGAATAATTCAAATTAATACTGATTGATTACAATCAGACAAATAATTCAGTATCTATTTAAAATATAAATATACTATATTCCTCTGAAAATAAGCACTTCCTGAAAATAAGCATTATCTTATTTTTTTAGTATCTGAAAATAAGTATTATCTTATTTTTTTAGTATTTGAAAATAAGCATTATCACATTTTTTAGTATTCAAAAATAAAATAAATGCTAAAACTAACCCGATTTATTAAATATTTTATAAATTTTAATGTTTTTTATTTATTTTATTTAAAAGAATTCTTTGCCATCAATATTTCTTTTATTATTATTAATGATTTTCATCACCATTAATGCTACTATTTTCATTATTATCATTTATCATTAACATACCTAAAATTATCGCTAAATTATATCCACTTTTGCAAACTTATTTTACAGATTCTTTTATATGACCCTTAAAAGAAACATATTAGAAATATAAAGCATTTATCATTTTTACATAGCTTTTAAGATTGAAAATTTAGCAATTTTATTAGTACCCAAAATTAAGCATCTTTATAGCAAAAAAGGGATGCTTAATTTTGAAGGCATACAATAATTATAAATTACTATTAATTTAGTATTAATTCAGTTAAATAAGTATATAAAGTTAGTATAATTTTATTTAATTAATTTATTTAATATTAATTTTATTAATTATAAAAATCTAATATAAAATATTAAATAAAATATTATTTAAACCTATTGGTTAATTTTTTATTAAAAAATAAGTAATTAATGAAAAAATCATATAAAAAATTAATAAAATAATAAAAATAAAATAATTGATTTAAAATTATTTAAATAATATAAAGATAATAAATAAAATAATAAAAAATAAAAAAATTAACTTTTTTAACTTAATTTACCTAAAGTTATATTATTATCATTATTTTTTAATTAATTTTTACATTACTAGATCTTTATCACTTTTAATAGCAAATAATATATTCCTTTTAATTTTTATATATATTTCAGTTTTTATTATATATTCTTCTATATTTATATTTACTTTGATTTCAATATCACAAATCATATTTGATTAGATTTTATATAACTATTTTAGAGTATTACAAATTATGATTAATTATAATATTATAATCTTTAGAGTATGTGATTTAAAAATATAATTTAATATCTATTAATATTATAAAGTATTGTAAAATTACCCAGAGAGTTATAAATATTATTAATTTATTAGTTCTAAATTATTTTTATGCTAACTTTAATATTAATTTATCATTATATTTTTATTTTTATTATATTTATAATAATAGTATAATATTAGAATTGAATATAATTCAAAAAAAGATAATTTAACTAAAAAGAAAATAGAAAGAATATTAGTATAAAATATATTAAATAAACTCAAAAAATATTAAATATAATAAAAAAATAATCAACTTTAGCTAATTGTCATAAAAAATCATATATAACAATAATAATTAGTAAAACATTATAATACTTTAATTATAGGAGTTATATAATAGTAAATTTTATTTATATTACAAATTATTTATAATAAATATATTACGTAAATTTATTAAACCATATTTGAATTCTTATTTCTTTTTTTATAATAGATTTTTTATATATAATAAATATTAAATAATAAAAGTTAATTAATATATTATTAAAATAATATTTATAAGTTTATATTATTTAATTAAAAATCTAAAATAACAATTTATAATTATTAATATTATAGAAATTGCAATTTTAAACTTTAATAATAATACTATTTTTATATATTTTTCAATTTTATCTTTATATTATAAAACTCATAGTATTTTAATTAATATATATAAAGCTAATAATATCATTTATAGAAACTTTATAAATAAGAATGATGTTTTATTTGGATAACTTTATATCAATTTTCTTAATAAATCTAAAGAATATAAATCAAATTCTAAGTTTTATTTTTTTTTCTAATATATATACAAATGTATTTTTTTTAATGTGAATATTTATATATTAAAACTTTATTAGATAATGACAGTAATAATAATATATTATTAAATATGATTTAATAAAATAAAAAAGGATTTATATGATTATACTATTATAGAAAATCAGAATCTTTATATTAATAATAATAAAGAAGAAACTGATGAAATAATTGAATGTAATAAGCATAATATTATAAAAAATAACAAATAAAAGTAATAATAATAAAAAGTTAATATTAACTTTTTTATTATTTTTTTCTTTTTATTTAGATTTTTTATTAATATATTATTTTATTATTGATTATATTAAAGATAATATTTAAAGATGTAATTTAATATATAAATTATAAAAGTTATATAATTTTTATGAAATATAGCAAATAGATAAAATATAGTTTAATAAGTAAATAATAATTATTATAAATTAAAAATTTATGATTCTTATTTTTTACTTGATCAAAACTGATTTTATAAAAATTAGATAAACAATTAAAAAAAAAAAATTATTTATAATTTAAAAATGAAAATAAATTAGATGTAAAAATTATATAATATTATTTAGTTGTAAAAAGAAATACAAATATCATTTATAATTAACAGTTAGTTATAAAATTCAAAGTTTCTTATAATGGATTAATATACTGTATTATATCAAAAAATTAATGTATTATTAAATTAAAAAATTATACAATCTATTGAAAATATTTTTTTAGAATTATAATCTATCAGAATTTGAAAATAAATTGAATTATATTTTTATATAACTATAACATTATATTTTTTTATATCAGTTTTTATAGTTAGTTACATATTATATTTATTGAAAATCTTTTTTTTAGTTTTAAAATTAAGTAAATATTTAAACATCAATTTAATAAGAAAATTATTTGAATTACTATTCTTTTAAAAAGTAATCTATTTTAATTTTTTTAAGAATAAAAATTATTAATATTTCATTAAAATATTATTTTTATAATAAATAAGTTGAAAAATAAAAATATTATATTTATCTTTAATATTTATTTATGTAATTTTATATTTTTTAGAATTTTTATAATTAATTAAAATTCAAAGTATTTAAATCAATTAGTAAATATTTTTATTTTTTTTTTTAATTTTATTTTGATTTGAGAATAAAAAGTTATTTTTATTAAAAGTAATAAGTGCTTTTAAAAACATTTTATTTTAATTTTAGTAAAAAAAGATTTAGCAATAAGAGGATAAAAAGTTTAATTGTTATTAATTGCAATTCCTATTAAGATTAATTATTTAATATTATTAGTATAATTATAGTAAAAAATTATAGACATAAATTTCCATAAATTAATAAGTTAGTTTATAATTAAACTTAAAAATTTTAAAAGAATAAATATTATAGTCAGTTTCAGATGATTTTATTTTTAAAATAAGTATTTTTTGATATATCAACTTCTAATGTGTGGAAAAATTGTAAGGAAAGTTAATTAAATATTAAAAGTATAATACTATTATGCTCAACAACATTTCCAGGTAAAGTATGTTTCTTCATTAATATATCTAAGGGAATGTTCTTTCCTTTTTATATTCCATCTATAAAATAAAAATCCACATGCTATAATTATAACTGCGCCCAAACTCACTATTAGAGTTATTTGTAACAATAATAGTTGGCGATAATTGTGGTGTTGATAATTGATCAGAATTCGTTACATTTGCATTTGTAATTTCAAATGAATTAACCCACGTATAATTACTAATATCCATGATATAAATATTAGGATTTTTGGATGGTAATGAAGCAGAATTTGGTTGTGTAATATTTCCTATTGAAATACATTAAAATAAATTTAAAGTTTGAATTACTTTAAAAGTAAAAATGATTTACTTACCAAAAGCCACAATCATATAATTTCCAACCAGATTAGCTGTATAGGCTATAAGTGATGGAACCTGAACAATATTTGAATTAACTTGCGACGCAATAAACTCAAATTGTTTTCTTTCCGTATTTAAAACAAACAAATCGGGAACAACTTGAGCATATTTAAGAGCACCTATATTACGGGCACCCTCATAAATAATGATTTTATCATCTGGAGCTATTTAATAAAATATAAAATATTAAGTGCAAATAATTAAAAATATTAAATATTAAATAAAGCATAAAACATAATTATATACCTAAAACCGCCGTATGACAATAACGATTTTGAATTATATTTGAAGATTTCGCTAATTATAATATATTAAAAATATAAGTTTTAAACTATATTTATTAAATTTGATAATATTTATACATACGTTCATTGACCAAGTTAAGGTCTTTGTATCAAAAAGACCAATATTTTTAATATCAACTGTATGTACAGTATCTTCACTGATTTCTAAACCACCAATATATACGATTATTTCATTAGATAATAGTGTTGCAGTATAAGAAAATCGCGCATTAGGTTGATTAACTGCAATTATTTCCCATGATAATTTGGCTGTATTTAGGATAGTCATATTATTATAATATGTTGTCGTTTCTGAACCTAAATTTTTATCAGCATATCCACCAAAAATATATATTTTTCCGGTATTATCAATTACACCCTTAATACTTCTTCGTCTTTCAGGTGGAGTCCCTTCGATATTAGGTATATTCCACGATAAGGAATTTAAATTAAATGAATGAACATTTGATACAAAAGCATCTTGTTTCAGATCATTACGCATGGATCCACCAAATAAATAAATATTTTGTTCCTTATCATTCAATAAAGCAGTTCCCCAGCAACTTCTGAATGGTATTTCGGCATTTTGCGTAAGGGAAACCCATGGTGGAGCAGTTAAATTAAATGACTGAGATAAATCGAGATAAAACACTTGATTTGTGCAAGACTTAGCATTATCAACATATCCGCCAAAAAATACAGCTTATCTTTAACTAGGACAGTATAATGAGCTAGACGTCCTTCAGGAGTAAATGACTCAACTTTAAATAATAAATAAATTAACATGAACATGTAAAGTAATTTATATTTTTTACACGTCATGATTTCAATTAATTTAATTTCAATATTAAAAAATAATTTTTTTTTTTTTGATAAATATCCGTCAAACAAAAAAAAAAATGGTCAGAAAAAATAATTTTTTTTGATAAATAGTTTAAAAAAGTTCATTATATTCCTTTATTTGGGAAATTTGCATTTCACAGATATGCTTCAAATATGCGATCTTTTTTTTTTGTGTAAAATATTCTTATACAGTAAGTCTTTAAATTTGTGTTACATTATAATGCTAAAAAGCCATTTCCGGTTAATTTGGTTAATGAACTTTCAAAGCCATACGCTTTTTTTTTAATTTCTATGAATTAGGAGAAATCACGTGGAGTTACACAATTTTCCAAAAAAGTCCCAGAGATCGAGTCTCAAAATCGGTCACACAAATTTCTATTTTAAAATTCTGTGTTACGTTGTACTATTAATCATTATTATTTATACAGGTAATCTAAACGTAACCCTCAATGTGGTGCACTGTCTTTTTATCGGTTTTAAATGAAATTTCTTCAAGATATGAAGCGGTAATTTTGGATGATAATCCATTTTCAACCTGTTAAACCAGCTGTTGAACCAAGTCTTATTCTAACCTCAGGTTCAGCTTCTACTTCTAAAACTTCTGATGCGTCTACTAATAAATCAGCGAAAAGAAAATAAATGGATTCATAATAGTATAATTAAAGGTTAGAAGATTGTAAATATTAAATCTTTGCATTTGAATTTTTCGATATCTTTTATTTGCTGTAAGAATTTGTAACATATAATAATTTTTTGGCTGAAGATCCATACGAAAAGAAGGGAGTGCGATTGTGCAATCTTTATTGTTGCTCAATCAATGGTAAAATTTGACCAATCAGGGCAGCTCTATGAAAAAAAAAGATGGGTAGTAGCTCCAGGTATTTCGACTTAAATGTTCATTGAGGGAGGCGCTTGAGAACGGCCGCAATGTATGTTGTATTAAATAAAAATTGCGTTAATTTTATATATTGTTTATACTTAATTATTAAAACCTTTTCAAAATTTATCCGAGAAAAAATGTTTTGAATTATAAATTATAAAAAAAATTTATTTTTTAATTAAACAAAAATTTAAAATCCGTTTATGATAAATTAGCACGCCTAAAATGAAATAATTTTTGCATTATTTATTTTTAAACCAGAAGAAGACCTAAAAATGCTGTTTAAGAACTCCCCATGACTCCTATAGTGCCATTAATGTGGACCGACAGAGTAAAATGTAATGTTCGAATTACTTTGGATTGTATTTATTCGAACCTAAACGCTATTGAAAATTAACATTTGATGTTGAGAAATAATTTCTCACAAATTATAATTAATTAAAATTTCATTATAAAGTTAATACTTAGCCCATTCAAAAGCGTCATATATCACTCGTTATAAAAGTCTATATTATCATTATAACTTTAGGCGGGCAGGTACCAAATGCCGAATGTGATCAAAAGTTTTTACGTAAATGTCTCGGTCCATAAATAAGATTTCAAGATTTCTATTATTAACGCATTTTTTGTTCAACTACCAACTGGGAGAGCAAAAGTATTGTAAAATAAAATCTAGATAATTAAGCCATATTTCTTTAGTAACATATTTCTATCGAAATTATAAAAACACTCTACTTTTAATATGTCGAACTCGAATCGGCTAGTTGATGCGATGCTTATCTGCCAGAAATCACATAACATAACAACATAACAGTTTATACGATAACATCCTAATTATTTTATGATCCCTGAGAGTTTTTGTTGTAAAAATTCCCTATTTTCATAAATAAGCAACCTTAATGGCAGCAGATAACTTTTCTAATAATGAAAGAAAAAGTGCATAACGTGAATTAATGCATCAAATAAAACTATATTATACTTGAGAAAAACCTTTGATATTGAAATTAGTGCTGCTGAGACTCCACATTCTTAGCAGTTTTACCCTATAGATAGCTTTTTAAAGAATGAAGATTATTTAATTCAATTATCACTTAAACTTTTTTTTTATTACTTCTTATTCAGCTGGATACAAATGAGTTTAATCAAGCTTTATCAGATTTATGGTAAAAGAAGAATACATTTAAGTTTAAACAAAATTAAAAATATGTATAATTTAACTGCTTTTTATTAATGACCAAATTTTGTTTGGCTAAAAACGCATATATTCTTGTTTTTCAATAAAGTGGTTAAAAGATTTAATATCTAATAGACCAATATTTATAGAATCTATTTATTATTTTAAAACTTTAGCTCTACTTCTAATTCAACTGTAAAATATTATAAAAGGTAATTATAACTGATACCAATTTAGTAGTTTTAATTGCCTTTTTATTTTTATTATCAGTAGATTATGAAGTAACTTTTACTTTAGGAGTATTATCACTTTTTCATATTCTTTTTGTTTATCTTCTGAATCTAGATCAGAGAATATCTTAACCATTTTTGCATATTTTATTTTTTTAGAAGGTAAGTTACATTTTTAGGTAAAGTAACCTTTCTTTTGATAATTGTAACAGGTAATTAAGCTTTATCAAACTTTTAACCTGCGATTGAGGCTTTTATTCTGGTTTGAGTTTGTTATTCAAAGCTGAAATAATATTAGCATAGTTGAGGGTGAGCCTTTCCATTTATTTAGTTAAAGTCTCATTAGAAGTTTCAGCCTTTCAATTCACTTGATATTTATGTTTTTAGTTTGTTTAATGCTTCATAATCAATTGCTTCTTGAATAGCTTCATTAATAAAGTCAGATTTATTAGTAAGAATTAGGATTAGTGCTTAAATAAAAAAATAATAAATAAATTAAACTTTATATGTTAATATTACCCTGAAAATTCGAGTCGAATGCGGGTTAAACAATAATCGGATCAAGTCGATCCGAGTCGAACAATGATTGGGTAGTGTCGGAATTCGGGTCCTGTAACCCGAGCTACACACTATTTCTAAGATTGCCGGGTTGCAAACCCGGATGTTTCGGCAGGCATCGAAATCGAAACCCGTTGAAAGTTTTGCCAAATATTTTTATTAAAGGCAAAATTACGAAAGTTACGACGGGCGGCAAAAGTTTCGATGGATGACAAAACCCATCGAAACATTCTGATATTAAAATACATAAAAATTTATATTTTTTGTTTAACGAGATGAGCAAATCTTTATATTTAGATATTTATAAAGGATAAAAAAAATAAAAATAAAAATAAAAAAATTTACATATTGATCATCAAGTCCAAGTTACATCATTTATCTCCCATATTTTCTTCATTTAAACTCATGACAGTATTTCTTTCTATTAATCTTTCATTTGAAAATCATCAACTATTATGACTATAATAGCATTAATATGTAAATTGGGAAATCTGATGAAAGTTTATCTTTTATAGGATTATAAAAAGATAAATTAAAAGCGCCGAGATTGTAATATTATCATGTTTGTCTAATTTAATGCAACCGCACTGGGTATATAATGATGAATAATTTATTATTAAGTTTTAAAAAATTTACACAGTTTTAAAAATAGAGATACAATATTCGATTTAAATCCGGATTTTTAAAATTAAATAAATCCGGATATAAAAATAAACCCGGTTCGAACCTTTATCATCATCTTCATTAGATAATTTTCTCTAATTCTTCAACAAGTACCAGTGCTTCCAAATTTAAAACCTTCTCGATAAATAATGTATTATTTTGGAAACTTTGTTCTAATTCAAAAAAAAAAGGAAAAAAAAAAAATCGTTTTTATATTCTATATTGTGATACAAAAAACCGTTAAACCGTCAAATTCGCAAAGTTGTTATCGAAACTGTCGAAACTTTCGAGACCCGTCGAAACCCATCGAAACCCATCGAAACTGTCAAATTAATTTCTGAAAAGTTTCGACTTTGCCAAATGGGTTTAGGGTTTTGCACCGCAACTATAACTATGGCTCATTTGGCGAATCAATTACATTATTTCATTCCTTGTATCGAACTTTAAAATTTTATTTTTTTTTATTTAAATAAATCTAGAATTTAAGTAAATTGAAAGGCAATAAAAACAATAATTGTACTGCTTTATTTTGACTGAGAAATTAATCAAATAGAATAGTAATTGATTTGTCTTTTATGTTCATAGAAGCGTATCTTTTTATTAGCATTAAATATTTGAACATTAAATAGTCGTTAAGCAAGCATATAATCATTCTCAAGAGTTTTATTTTGGATAATATGAATAAAATATTGTATCGAAATAATTTTTCTTTTACATTACTATTTTTGTCTTTGTGCCACATGTCAAGTCAAACAGTAAATCATCTAATTTTATTAAGACCATAATTAGATATAAATTCTTACATAGATACAAATAAAGCTGGTTTTGCTGAATATTTTGCACAACTCATTTTATTTTACATTTACTACCATTGACTATACCATATCAAAATATTACCTTCTTACTTTTTTCATAAAAAACGCTGTAGTATTTATTTTCAACATATTCAATCTCGAAAAATCGAAAAAACCAAAAAGTGCTTCGTGAATATTTTCTAAAATTAATCTTTAATCTTTTGCATTAGTTTATGATAAAATCACATAAAATCACATTTTTCTTACAATCATTTCTTTGGAATTAATTCACTGACTTCTTTAACATTTTGTCTATTGTCGTAGAAAATGAGTATAAAAATAGTATTCTATCTTGTTTTACCCAATAAGCGTTATAAACAATAAAAATCATAAAGATAAATTCTTGATAAAATGGTAAGATACAATTTATTTTTTTAATTCTGTAAAAAAAATTTTTTGGGATGTTTATAAAAAGAAATTTAAATTTAAACTTTATAAATTAAGATAATACTAACGAAAAAAAAAAATTATTAATAATTTAATTTTGGGATGCGCTTAATTACTTTATTTTATTTTTTTCAACTTTATTTACTATGAAAAATGATGTACAATTTTGAAATATACATCGTTAATTTTCAATAATAATCAAAGTATAAGCTTTGATGCTTATTAAAATCTAAAATCTAAGTATTATTTTATTGATTAGGGTGATGGGATTCAAATCTAAGTATATAGTAAATTTTTCAAGTAATTTTTGTGATAAAACCACTACCAAAACTTGTCAGATCGTGTTTAAAAATTTCAGAAAAGTTACTTTGAATTTTAGCATAATTTTGGCACGTGCGAGGTGAAGAAAAGAATGCATTGCTTTCGTTTGCTTTTTTATAAAAAAAAAGATGGTTCCATTATTAATATATTTTGTAACTTTGCATAACAAAATAAGGGAAATAAACATACTGTCTTGGGTGTTAGGTTCCTGGGAAATTGCGTTATTGCAATCCATTTGAAAGCGATAATAGCAAGATTCATATAGATATGAATGAAAGGATTAGTGCATTTACAATTTATGGTATAAATCAGATAAATTTTTATAATTAAAATATAACAAAAAATTTGTAATTTAATGATAATTGAATTGAAACACTGGATAAAAAAAAAAATTTATTTTTAATCTATTTTAAATATTTTTACAAGTTATAATAAGTGAAGTAAATAATCCATTCTATTCTGTATTTATAGCTTTCTTAATAATAATCATCATAGCTAACCATCATTATTTAATTATTATAATTTTGTTTTGCTTATGAAATAATCAACGTGATATACTTTAGCATCAGCTAATCTAATAGAGTTTATAAAATAAACTAAATCCGTATGTATACGAAATTCCAAGTAATGTTCTACATTTCAAAATAATAGGCAAGAATAAAATTTTCCACAATTAAACAACTTGATCTTTGGAAGTTGAATCTTCAATCGGTCTGCCCTAGTATTTTACAAATTGTCTATACTTTCAAAACAAGAACAATATGATTTTTAATTTCAAATTTTTAACAAAATAATTTAAGTCTAGAAATATTACGGTATATAAGACTATGTAATTTAAAAGGTTTCCTTCACAAGTTCTGAGGATATACTACCATTAAAGGAAACAGAACTCATTTTCAAGAAAGGTATTATATATCCTTTTTTATTTCTATTCAGAACATATGTTTCATGAATTAATTTAATAATGTAGTCCACTATTAAAAACTAATGATCAAAAAATCAGCGCTGATTAAACTAATGAAAAATAGAAATACTGCTTGAAAAAGAGAAGAATGATAAATAAGGTATTTTTTTGTCTATATTTAATTTTAAAAAAAAAACTTATCATGCCTTACTAGATGATCCAGCGAAAGAGGAAATCAGTTATTTAAATGTTTTAGTTTTTATTTAAAGAAAAATCTTCGTCCTTGTTTTGCAGCCACATTATACTAATAGCGAACAGAGAGCTTAATTATTAGACTTATAATAGATGGTTAAATATATTTATAAATTTATTATTAATACAATACATATTAGAACAAGAGAATATTTTGAGAAAGGTTGCAAATATCTTTTTCCCCGAATAATAACTGAATACGAAAGTTGGTTGTGAATTCAAATAACAAGTTAAATTTTATGACATACTATATACCTTTTTATTAATAAAATATAATTTTTCTATAGAATTACTAATAAAGTCAAATAGTATAAGAACGAAAGAAGTAAATAATTTTAGTTAAATTAAATTGCTAGGTTGTATAAAGTTGGAAGTTGGTAGAATTTGAATTTTAAAGATCTAGGGTTGATATCAAATAAGAATTTGGGTAAATTTGGTAAGATTGTTATTTGAGTTTCATAACAATGGAGTTTCATTAAAGAGTTAGGTAATGTCGGTAAACTATTTATTTGAGTATTATTGCAACAGAGTTTCTTTAGGTTGTTGGGCAAAGTTGGTAAGCTATTTATTTGTGTATTACTACAATCGAATTGCGACAAGGAGTCGGGTAAAGTTGGTAAGCTATTTATTTGAGTATTACTACAATCGAATCCCGTTAAGGATTTAGATAAAGTTGGTAAGCTATTTATTTGTGTATTACTACAATTGAGTATTTTTAAAGAATTGGGTAAAGTTGGTAGGATAGTTATTTTAGTGTTATTACACCAGAGTTCCGCTAAGGAATTGGATAAAGTTGGTAAGCTATTTATTTTTGTTTCATGACAATAAAGTTCTATTAAGGAGTTAGGCAAAGTTGGTAGGATAGTTATTTCAGTGTTATTACACCAGAGTTCCGTTAAGGAATTGGGTAAAGTTGGTAAGCTATTTATTTGTGTATTAATACAATAAAGTATTGTTAAGGAGTTGGGTAAAGTTGGTAAGCTATTTATTTGTGTATTACTACAATCGAATTGCGTTAACGAATCGGGTAAATTTGATATGCTATTTATTTGTGAATTACTACAACTGAGTATTGTTAAGGAATTGGGTAAAGTTGGTAAGCTATTTATTTGAGTATTATTGCAACAGAGTTTCTTTAGGGAGTTGGGCAAAGTTGTTAAGCTATTTATTTGTGTTTTACTAAAATCGAATTGCGATAAGGAGTTTGGTAAAGTTGTTAAGCTATTTATTTGAGTATTACTACAATCTAGTATCGTTAAGGAGTTTGGTAAATTTGGTAAGCTATTAATTTGAGATTCATTGCAATAGAGTTCCTTTAGGGGGTTGGGTAAAGTTGGTAAGCTAGTAATTTGAGTATTACGACAAATGAGCTCAATTAAAGATTTGGGTAAAGTTGGTAATCTATGTATTGGAGTATTACTACAATTGAGTATTTTTAAGGAGTTAGGTAAAGTTGATAAGCTATTTATTTGTGTATTACTACAATTGAGTTCCGTTAAGGTGCTAGGTAAAGTTGGTAAGCAAGATATTTTTGTACTGTTACAAATGAGTACTTTTAGTTTTCGATATCGTTGCAATCCTTCTAAGGTGTTTAATATGTCATCCTTATTTGTATCTGTAATAGTTAATCTAACAACAGTATCATAGGTAGATTCAAGGTTTCTGATCCTTTTTTCTAATTCATTAATAATTTCTTGCGATACCTTTTCTCTTTCTATTATCTTTTCTTCAAAAATGTTAATAAGTTCTTGCTTGGCTTTAGCTTCTTTCCTAACCTTTTCCTCCAAACGATTAATTATTGTTTTGGTTTCTTCTTCTCGTTCTCTAACCTTTTCTTCTAAATGATTAATATTGGCTTTGGTTTCTTCTTCTTGACCTGTAAGTTTTTTTTCTAAATTACTGAATTGTGAACATAATTCTTTGTTACTTTGCTCTAATTCCTTAATTTTTGTTTCCAAGTTTTTTAAGGATTTTTCTAAATTGTACTTTAAAACCATTTTTTTTTTTTTTTTTTTTTTGGTGTGGGATGAGCTTTTAGTTTAATTTTTTTTTCTTGCATATAAATCAACCAATAGAAAACTCACTTTTACTCAGCCCTCGGTTTAAATCTTTTCCTACTGAATTTTTTCCATAATTAATCTAGTCTACTCGGATAACTAAAAGGATCTAACCGGAACCGCTTCTTGTCTTACCAAATAAAGTTAACTGATTTATTAAAATCTAAAATCAAATTGAAATCTTTTTACAAAACAAAAATGGTGAACGAAAAAAATTTATTAATTAAATTATGCAAATGTCGATCCTTTGCGTTTATATAAACAATTAAAATATAGCCGAAGGTTTCAAATTGCGATGTAAAATTATTCATTAAAAATGATTTCTGTTTTCCTTAAATCAATTAATTTATCTCGATTGAGATTTCAGTTAATCAATTCCCGCATGATAAAAAAAAAACTAAAAATAATAATAATAATAATTAAATGTTCGTATTTTTTCTTGAATAAAAATAAATTTAATTTCATTTTAAAACAATTGCTTATCTAAACCATAAATATAAATATATATTTCAATAATGTAATCCAATTGTTAAAAAAAGGTGATTTTGAAATTTATTTTTTCTAAAAAAAAAAAAATAAAATCGAAAAGATTTATAAAAATTGTAGAGCCAAATTATTTGAAATCCACTGTCGAATTGACCAGTATTAATTTTAGACTAGATCGGTCGTAATTATATGACTTGAGACCCGATTATTTACTTAGCCCATGTGATCGAAAAATTTGCGAACTTTTCTTTTTTTTAACTTCATTTATCAATAATAGCTAGAGTTATAGGTTGGTAAAACGAAATTCCAAATTTTGTTGATTTCACATTTCTTTATTAAGTGAATTTTTTAATGTTTCCTTTTGTAACAGTGAAAAACGATTTCGTTGTCTGTGAAATTATTTTGACGCACGTTACCAATATTTCTATCATATAAAGAGATATTAAATCTTGATTTAGGGTGAATTCGGCACGTGTATTGGAAATTTTGTGTTGTGCACTCAGAATCAAGTTTCCGCTACATTTATAATCGAAAATAAAGTAGGAATTCATATTTCTACCTAACGACGAAAGTTGAACTACAGTGTAAAATATAAAAATACCTGTCTAGCAATAGGAAAACATGTTGACTAAAAAAAACGTAATAAATGATATGATTCAAACGATAGTTAGAAATGAATTAGAAACGTATTGTACAAATTTACCGGAAATAAATACTGTTAATTATTAATAATATTTGAAAACGGAATTAACTTATTTGGTTAGAATGAAACTGCTATCTCAATTTAGTTTAATTTTTTGTAATACATGATCTATTTAAACGAAACGTAATCATCAACTTTTTATCACATTGCATTTATTATTTTAAAATAGAGGGTAGATAGAAAACCGGTACGGTACGGTACGCAATGAAATTTTTGTAAAATTTATTTTTATATATTACTTATTTATAAATACATCATTATATCAAATTTACTAATTAAATGCCATATCCGCGGAAATCTTTTTTTTTATTTTTATTTTTATTTTCATTTTTTTTATTCATTTATTTATTTTTTTGAAAAAAACGAAAAAGAAAAAAAAAATCTAAAAAAAAAAATGAAAAAATCAAATAAATAAAATGAAAACGAAAGTATAGAAATGAAATAAAAAA